ACCCCAACATCCACTCAAGGTTGAATCTTCGCAGTTCCTGTCGAAACGTTCCCAAAAGCGTCTCAGAGAATGTGAAAATACGAATCGCAAGATTCTCAAATCGTTGGAATATCTCAATGCGGTAAGATCATAATTCCATTTTCCATACAACGTTCTGCAAATTCATTTGACGTACACTGAGAGAAAAAAAAACAAAAGAAATTCCCTCAAACGAATCTTGTTTCAACCAAAAAGAATTGCAAGTTGAACATTACCAGCAAAATGAAATCTAGTGTTGATTACTCGACAAGTGTCCTGCAATCGGATGTTTTTAGTGGAATAATAGTTCCTTCAAGAAATTTCTCTTCTAAAACTACTTCTTCGTTCTTTGATACTTCTATTTTTCTTTCAGTTATTCAATAGTCCCTATAAAAAATAAATTCTTGGATAAAATAAAAATTATGACTTCATAGCAATCTTGTATTCTCGCGAGAAAATTCTTCGTGAGAAATTTTCTTCAATGGTACATATTTTCCACATGAATAATCGGCATTTCTTGTAAATGATTTGTAATTTTCAAATTTCTATCTCACGAGTCCAAACAATTTTTTTTTGATAACTTGGTCTTTGTTCTACGTGATTAAGCCAAAAATTTATTAATTTGTTAGCAGATTTTTACTACAGTTTTGAGAAGTAATACTTGGGCACCTACATGAACTCTGAATGACGTCCTTAAGAATTATTCACACTTGTTCTGAACGATTTCTCAATTGAATGACTTGCTACACACTACAATAAATTCGAGGGAATATTATGAACATTTTTTGCAAATTTCGTCATTCACTCATCACGTGAAATACAAAGACAATGTTTCTGTAGTATCGTCAAATATTCCACGCATGAAGAACTTAATAGAAAAATTTAGCGCTTTGTTACAGAAATTCTACTGACAATTTCCCATTTCAAAAATCTATTTTTCTTGGCGCGATTTTTTATAAAAGATTATACAATTATTCTGTCATTTTGTTAAGCGAAATTGGATAGAAGAGCATTCAAATGTCCGAGAATTTGCATAGGAAAACTAGTGACAGAATAGGTTTTATAGAAAAGTCTACATCTGCAGACATTTTTCTATAAACAAATGTATATTTCAAAATGAACAGAAAAGTCAGTTGATAGAATTCCAATAGAAAACATCAGAGAATGTGCTACGCTTTTCTATTATTTTTTTTATGGATGTTTAGACTAACGAACGAGTAAATTTAATGTTTTTTAATTCGATTAAATCACTATTTTTCGTTCCCCCCGTTAGTCTGCGTTGCCTGACATATGAGTAACTCCGATTCATTATTGTTGTAGTCAGTCCATGGGAAGAGTAACAAGCCTACATCTTCATCAATGATGCCACCGACACCACCACCATCACCTATTCCATCATTGTCTCCAATTCCCTCCTATTCATCGAATTTACAATACTGCAATTTCTCAGACCAGTCCATGGCAACACCGTGGGGGACTCACGATATAGCTTCCAGTGTTATTCCTCACATCCCTTCTCATGGAAGTCAATCGTTGTCTGGACATCACCCACTATACTCGTCACAGTTTCAGCAGCTTAATATGCCATCACCTCCATCTGAGATTTACACACATCAATACAATCAATCACCTCTGGTACATCAAAGGGCTGTACGGATTCCACAAACTTTCGTCACAGGGCAGAACGCATATGTCTACCAAGCTCACGTACCACAATCGGTTCAGTATCCTCAGGCTTCTCAAGGCCGTCTTCAAGGCTGTCTTCAACCCCCACAGCAATTCTATCCAAGACCTCAACAGCCACAAGAAACACCAATCTTCGTCCATGCACCCGTACCTCCTCAACAGAATATTTATATTCAGCAACCGACTCAACAAATCATACCTCAGTATCAGCCCTTCCAAGATGCCGCTCAACGAAATCCACAAGCATCCCCACAAGTACTCCTGACAGGTCAGCAGTATATGACGACGCAGAGATACCCCGAAATTATCCAACAACAACCTTCACAGACGAATTTCCAATATTACGCACCTTAATAGGGCTCAGGTATATAAGCCATTCACCACGAGGCATGAAAAAGACAGATGTACACCTCTATTTCCTTATTTCTACTCCTGCAGAAGTTTTCGTGGTCATATTGGGATTTATTATCACTTGTTTATGAATTTTCGTAATTAGTCACTCTGTTCATGACTTCATGCTTGCTTTTCTATCAATGTTATCGGGAAATTGTTTTTGACCTATCAGCAGAATTATTCGAATATTATTTGAAGTAATCTTCACATTCAAGATGTGATTCCAAAACTGTCATCGCTGTTTTTCGATTACTTTCCATTCATGTCGGTTCGCTGAAGCAGTGGTAATAGTTCAGTGTTGAGTGATCAAAACAAATTCATTAAACTGAGCATCTCCTTGCTCATCGTATTGTCTCGATTACCATTGATTGCAGGAGAGCTGGCGGTTTCAGAAGGATATTTATGAGATGTAGTGAGACTCTGTCCACATTTTTTTTCAAAATGTTTCCCGTGTTTTTCCTGTTTTTTTGCGTTAGTTTTTATGAATGCTGTTCAATGATCAGTGAAATGACAGCGAATAATAATTTGCTAGGTTACATAATTACATTCATAACTTCATTGCAACTTCACTGGCATATGCCTTAATCTATGTGAGAATGTTAAAAAATTCCCAGAAAAACCTAGCGAGGTCACTAGAAAATTGTATTTAATTCCTATTGAACTTTCTAATAATTTTCGATCCATTATATTCCAGAATTTCGCCACTCACCTGCAAGTTACTGTCAATAAAAATGTTCAATGGAGAATATCGTTCAGAAAAAAAAATCAATGCCATTCGATTTTTCCACACAAATTATTCTGCTAAGATATTTGTTTTCTAGAAATTCCTCGGCTTGAGTTTTCGACGTTTCTTCGTTCCATTTTTCATAAATAAGTTTCATTTTTCATAAATAAGTTTGATAAATAAGGAGTAATGTTTCAACCAATAAACGTAATAATGCAATTACTTCGTCACGCTTTTGTTCATTCTCCAATCCTATTTCCCTCTGTAACTGGACGTTTCAAGACTTGACATGGGAAAAGTGAATATTACAATTTTCAAACTTGGCGCCTGTTCGGCTGTACATGGAAACTGGAAGCAAGCCGCCATTACGTGTTGTACACTCGCAAGCTCGTGTCATAAAACTTTTACATTTTCGTCATATCTATTCTTCTTTTTTCATAATTGCCATGAATCAATAAATGATTGTTCATATCGGGTCCAAAACAATCATGTGATTAACAAGTTGGAATAATCTACTGACATACTGGTAGTGTAACATCGTGCCAGACTTGGATGGAGCCATTGATCCTGCAATTGACAACTCGTTTGTTTTTTCATTCTTTTGTTTTAAATCGGTGGACACTCCTAATGTAAGTACCTCTTCTGAAAATCTTTAAATACTTGCGTTTTCTTCCCTTCTCATTCTTCGTTAAACTCTTCTATGTCAAACAGAATTCATTTCACATTCATTCTAATCTTTGGAGGTTATAAAGTCATCTATCAATCAATTAGTTTACTAGTGTATCCCAATAATCTACATATTCCGAATTAATATTTGTGTCTATCTACATTTCCAGTGATAGCTCGTAGGACTAACTTTATTATAAAGTGAGTTCAGGCATAATTCTAGTTGTGGAGAATCTGTCCAGTTGAGGAGCCTCGAACTGTGAATGACAAGCTTGATAAATCTAAGAGGAAATGCCAGATTGACCTTGACGACAGCACGATCGAGTTGAGGTACAGTGGATTAAAGTCTTCGAGCGTAAGAAATAGCAGAAGAACTCCGATGACGTTCTTGCTGAGCAAAAAAGATGGGAGCGGAGACCTTACTGAATGAAAGGCTCAAGAGAAAGACATTTGTATGCTCTTGAAAACATGAGGATCCTTGTGCTGTAACACAGACTTCACCATCTATGTTTTCGACTCCATCTTCACTCCTTCATCCCGATGTAGCGGTGTAAGCAGACCTCCGATAGTTTATTGGTCAGAGCTTTGACCTCTAGACCTCCAGAGAATTTCAACTCTCAAAAAATTGAAAATTCCATTCTTCAATAAGGTGCAGACAGAGAACAACGATGGTTCACTGTTGGTGAACGCTAGTTCCATAACTTTCCGATCCAACTCAACAGCGTCAATGAGGCGATGAACAACTGCATCATTCAGGTACACTCAGAGAAAAAAAAAATATTTTGAGGCCTCAAATATCTTGAATTGAGTCTTTACCAACTCTCAACTTGAGACTCTCAAAATAATCAAATGGAGATATCATATCTCAAATCGAGACTTGCAAATGTGAATTTTAGCTTTCCGGAAGTTTCAACTTGAGACTTTCTAATCTCAACTGGAGACATTCAGAAGGCTCCAGTTGATATGTTTCAAGACTCAGATTGATATCTTTAGAGAATGTAAAATAAACTTATCGAGCCTCGAATGAAGTCTTTCAGATCTCAACAATCCAGACTTAACAATCTCTATTTTAACCTCTTGAAAGTGTTAATTCGGAACTCTAACATCTCAATTTACGACTTTCCAAAGGCTTCAGTAAATTCTAGGATTTTAGATAAGATTGATCAACGATTTTTTGCGTTGATTCCAATTTTTGAATTATAGTTGTTCGAGGATTGTTAATGTAGAGATATGTCGGTCAAGATTGATCTGTACACTGAGCAATGTCCATTGAAATCAAATGGATATAATCTGAATGGAAAATAAACCGATAGTCAATTCAAATATATAATTTTCCGCGTACGAGAAGAAAATAGTATGAAAATAGTTGAATTTCTTCATTAAGTTATTTAGAATTTTTGGAAAGAGAGATTGTCTGATATTTGTGGATAGAACCGGTCATCATTGAGATAATTAGAGAATTGATGACATGTGATGGACTCATTGTCTCTATTTGATCATCTTTAAATCGATTTTTATTGTTCAAGATGAGACGAAATGTCATCTAGTTTCTTTTTCCATTGGAAAACATTGATCCTTGATAATTGATACTTTAGAAACTGCGTTTTATCTTCAGACATGAGATAAGTTATCCGTTATCATTAATTTTTGCATTCATTTAATTCTTCTTCCACGATTATAATTGTGTAGGAATGGACTGACCACAGAAAGCCACCGTCCAGTTGAGAAAATTACTTATCTCTCGAAAAAATCTCCATCTTTGTCAACTATCTTCAAGAATTCTTCGTCGGCAACACCTTAAAAATTTGGTAAGATATTAATCTTCAAGAACTGGAAGAAAATTTATGGTAAAGTGATGGCATTTCAAAGACATATTTTTTCTCTTATTAATCATTTAATCGTCTTTCAAATGGGTGGTTTTGGGAAAAAAGTATAAAATTTTTTGTGGTCTAAGAAAAAGGTGTATTGACATTTTTTGGTAGACTCAATGTAATAATTATCGAGATAAATCCATAATTAGAAAGTTTGCCAGCGAAACAGAAAGAGAAAAAACCCGATTGAAAGACCTTTTTTTAATCATCTCGGTGATTAGTGACGCCTTGAAAAGGTGTCAAAATAGTTTTGCGTAGATCACGAAATAAATAGAAGCAACGACGAGGGTCGAATGAGCAAGTTAATTCTATGAAAATATGATTAACATTGAGATAACGCAAAAAGAATTCTAAAAACATTTTCTATCTCTTTGTTATTGATTAATCAATTCATTAATGCCCAAAAATGTTTTAATATTTCGAAGAGGTGTATTTTTCCATTGAAATAACTCGGAGATAATTGAAGTTTTGCCAGTTACGCTCGGGGGATTCCTGTTATCTCAGTCGTACTCACTGGAAGATTATTTAAGGAAAATTGAAAGGAAATCTTGAACAAAATTATTGTTCTATGAAGAAAGTATCATGAAAAATTGAGACTTCGATCTGTCCTTTTACGAATTTGGAGGATAATTGAGGTGTGAGTGGAGAGAAATAACCAAATCGTTTTCTTTGAGACTGAGAAATGATAGAATAGGGAAACGCGAGAAAACTTTTCAATTTTGTCCCGAACAAACGACAGTCTTGATTGTAAAAACTTGAAATAATTGGAGAAGCTAATTTTTTTTATTTTCTAGATATTTTGTAACTTTCAACTCTGCAATTTTTTGTAGTATCAGAACGAAGAATATGAAAAATAATTCAGTGAGACAACTCATCAGTGAGTAATGGAAATAATGAGTGTCTAATTGAAAATGGGCTCAAAGAGAAAATTCTAGGATTTCTCTCCTAGAGAGCTCGTCAGTTACAAAAAAGATTTCATATTCCCCGGAAAAAATTGAGGAATTAATGAGAATTTGATCTCTTATTCCACTTTTCTCATAATTCTAGTAGTGAATTTTGGAATAAGTCGTGGATGGATGAGCCTTTCGTGATTAATCCTGTTTCAGGTGAACATAAATCACAAGACCGTTCTAACCCTGATGTAATCTATATGCTCTTATTTGTATTATTAGTAAATTCGACGTCACTTCATCTTGCTCACCTTAAAATCGAAACGAAAAGAAAAAGAATCTCGTCATTGCTGAACAATGCCTATTTTCACCTTTATAATTGTCTGAATTCTCAAGATACTAGTTCCAAATACTGCTGATTTCAAATTAGGCGCCTTCTGTATTGTTGAGCGTTGAGGTAATTCTACGGCCACCATTACATGATCTCGTATCTCGCAATCTTTAGACAAATTTGTTGGGTGATTTTATTTGACGAACAAATGAAAGATTATTTATTGTATTTTCTCTACTATCTCCTGATTAATATCTTCCGATCAACCATATCAAACAGCACGGAAATTCTGCAAGCGTACATGGTGCGACACTGTGCTACTGCTGATCATTTCTGATGCACTTGACAATTGCATTTTTTTTTTAAACAGTGGAGATTAATTTTACGAACGATTTCACCCTCAGAAATATTGGAGTACTTATTCATTTTCTCTGCAATACAAATTTATGATGAGTCGTGAAAGTGTGTGATTCCAGGAG